CTGTAGTCCCAGACACTCGGGAGGCTGAGGCAGGAGGATCGCTTGAGCCCAGGAGTTTGAGGTTGCTGTGAGCTAGGCTGATGCCACGGCACTCACTCTAGCCTGGGCAACAAAGTGAGACCCTGTCTCAAAAACAAAAAACAAAACAAAACAAAACATGTTTGTGATAAAATCTTCAAGTATGTGAATGTGCTACTCTATAAATCGCTCCCCCCGGTTGTTGGCAAATTGAGTTGTTCCAACGTACTGTATTGAGTCCCTGTTTTGCTCTCTTGATGTGACTGTCGATTCTTGCACAATCACCACACTGTTTCAAGCATTGTAGCTGCACGAGAGAGTGCCCAGCACCCAGATCTTGGTTTCTTAATATCATTCTCTCCTAAAAGGATCCAGGGCTCTTTGGAGAAATAGATGATTCCAGAGAGTGAATGGTGAGTGGACATGAAAATTCTCAGATGAACCAAGATCTGGGAGCTGGGTACTCTCATTGCTACTGGAGTATTACTGCTCCTAGCCCCTCTTGAAGGATAGATCTGGGGAGGTGTGAGTACGTGAGTGTGTGTGTGTGTGTGTGTGTGTGTGTGTATCAGGGTGTTCCAAAGGTCTTAGGGTAGTTTTAATCTGGAGGTTTTAATAACTGCGGAAGTACAAATGCTATAAATTCACCAAAAAATTATTGGGAAATTCACCAAAAATTTCTTGGAAAATTATTTATACTTCTTTACACTTAATTTTGTGACTTTTAAATACTAAAATTTTAAGTTTTTCTTTGTGACAGATTTATAGATGAGAATTTCTGAGACCACTGAATTGGTAGAGAAAGTCTTGCTTGGTGACTCTGTCACTTGACTTATTCATGTTTTGGTGTGTGTTAATAGTTCATTGCTTTTTATTAGTGAGTAGTATTTATTTCACTGTGTATTACAGTTTATTTATTAATTTACCTGAGGGTGGTCCTTTGGGTTGTTTCTGGTTTTTAGCTATTATAAATAAAGTCAGCATGGACATTCATAAGCAAGTCTTTATAAGGAATATACTTTAATTCTCTTGAGTAAATACCTAGGAGTAGAATGGCTTGATCATATGTTTAACTTTTTAAGCAACTGTAGAATTCTTTTCCAAAGGAGTTTTACCATTTATGTCCCCACCAGCAATGCATGAGAGTTCCAATTCCTCTATATTCTTAACAACACTCAGTGTGGTCAGTCTCATTAATTTTTGCCATTTGAATAGGTGTGGAGGGGTATCTCATACTGGTTTTAATTTGCATTTCCCTAATAACTTTGAGCATCTTATTTGCCATTCTTGTATCTTCTTTGGTGAAATGTCTTTTTAAATCTTTTGCCCAATTTTATATTGGGTTGTTCATTTTCTTATCATTGAGTTTTGAGAGTTCTTTGTGTATTCTGGATATATATTCTTTATCAGATGTATGCTTTGCAAATATTTTCTTCCAGTCTGTGGGCTGACATTTCATTCTCTTAACAATGTCTTTTGAGGAGTAGAGGTTTTAAATTTTGATAATGTCTAAGTTATGCCTAACTCCAATTAGCAGAGATTTTCTCCTAGAAGTTTTATAGTTTGAGGTTTTATATTTTTAGTTAATTTTTGTATGTGATGCAAGGTATAGACTGAAATTCTTTTTTTCCTTACTTGTTCTAGCACCATTTGTTCAAAAGACTGTCCTTTTCTCCATAAACTGCCTCTGCAGCTTTGTAGAACATCAGTTCTCCATAGATATGTGGATTTATTTCTGGAATCCATTCTGTTCCATTGACCTATGTGTCTGTGTTTGCACCAAATTACACTTCATTGTTTTCTTTGGCTTTATGATAGGTCTTGAAATCAGGCTCTGTTAGCCTTCTCATTTTGTTCTTTACTTCTCAAGTTGTTTTGACCATTCTCAGTTCTTTTTATTCCGTATGAAATTTTGAATATGCTTGTCAGCTTCTACCAAAAAAGCCCACTGGGATTTTCTTTGGGATTGCATTCAATTTGTAGATCAGTTTGGTTAGACTTAACAATATTGAGTCTCCTGGCCCAAGAAAAAAAAGTATATATCTCCATCTCCCACCTTGGCTACCTTGAGCTTTGATCGCTTGGGGGTCTTAGTACCCCAAGGGTAAGTGCTCACCAGGGGACATAGGAATGACTTCACCTGAAAGAGAACCCCAATCAGCGAGGCATTCTGCCAGCCCTTACAGAGGAGAAAAGCATGACTGACATGTCTGAAGAATCTACAAGAAAGATGATCTCGGGAGAGTGCTCACTTCTGGAAAATACATTCCAGGGAGTGCTGGAAGAGTTTCGATTCTGTCAAGTTTGTACAAGAAGAGAGAAAACAGTCGTGCATGCTGATTTTTATTTATTTGTTCATCTACACGGAAAGAAAAATTGGGGTTTTCCGGTCTGTAGGAAATCTTGACAAATCTTTTCCAGGCCTCTGAGGCATTTGAAGATGTAATCAGAAAGAAAAACGTTCTTACTATCTTGTCTGCGTAAGTTATAGCATGGACTAGAATACAGCAGGGATACCGGGTCATGCAAAATTAATGTGAGGTCATTTGCACACTCATTGAGCCATTACTGGTGATTGTGCTAAGCTTATTGCTGTTCATATACTCTACATATGTCCTAGATAAAGAGCCCTCTTGTACCTTTTAAACATTTCCTGTTTTTGTCCTTATTCTAGTGCTACAGTTCGGTACATGGACGCTGGTTGTTACTGGGTGAATCCTTGGCTCAGTCACTTTCTAGCTCTGTGATCTTGGGTAATTCAATTAACCTCTCTGTGCCTAAGTTTCCTTTCTATAAAATGAGGATAGTTGTAGTATCTACTTCAGAATGTAGCATGGAGAATTAATTAGGATGACATATGTAAAGTTCTTACAAGAGTGCTTGGCCCATGTAGACAATGAATGAATGTTAGTAATTGTAATAGTGTAACTTGGCAGTGTTTGCTCTAACATGGCTTGCCAGGAATATACACCATTGACTTCCCCCTTCTCTTTCCAGCAAACCTGCAGAACACCTGTGAAATAACTGCTATGGACTGAATTGTGCCACCCCCCCCCTTCATATGTTGAATCTAACTCCCTAATGTGACTATATTTTTGGAGACAGGCCTTTGGGGAGGTAGTTAAGGGTATAAGATTGGGGTGATAATCTCATAGGACTGGAGACTTTATAAGAAAAGGAGGAGACACCAGAGCTCACCCTCCCCATGACCCAGAAAGGAAAGGCCATGTGAGGACATGGTGAGAGGACAGCCATCTACAAATCAGGAAGCCAGGAGGAGAGGCCTCACCAGAAGCCAACGTTGGCATCTTGATTTTGAACTTCCAGCCTCCAGAATTATGAGACAATAAACGTCTGTTGCTTAAGCCACTCAGCCTATGATATTTTATTATAGCAGACCAATAACATTATGAAATTCCATTATTAAAATAGTCAGTAAGGGACAGATTAGCAGTGCTGATAAACAGTCTCTGATGTCATCCTTGAATCTCACTTACATATCTACCATGGCAGGTCACAGAGGGGGACTCATATATGCCACAGGGACTGCCATTCACTCGATTCACTCTGTGATAATTAGTTTATGGAGGCCCGAGGCTAGATGTGCACACCAGATGCGCAGGGAAGAGTTGTTGTCCTTGAGGAGCCGTCACTGTTACTTCCTTCTGCTTTGGGGCTCATCACAGAAGGTTCTGTAAGTATAAGAATCCCACTCGGTCACTGATGAGATCCTGGACTAGTGTGACCCTCATGTCAGCTGTGGCCTTCAATTGCCTCCGCGTCTCAGTAATGCCACCTGCAGTCCCGCTCATTTCTTTTGGAATGTCAGAAGCCCTTCCTCGGATTCCCTGAGTGCCGGCACTCCTGAGTCCCTGTCCTGCAGGGCTGTGTTTGTACCCCAGAACTGCCTTTCGAAAACTGCATTCACAACAAGCATTCGTGAATGTAACTATCCTAACTGCAAATGTAGGGCTCCCAGGGAGAAGATTTAGGGCAGATGGGGAAGTGAGGCCCCCCGGCTGGAATTTCCCTCCCACGTGTGCATTCTCTCCTCTCCTTGCTCTCCTGCTAGATTCTAGATTTTCCCAGGAACTCTCTTCCCTCTGGTTTGTAGAATTCAACTGGCTTCCAAGGCCCAAACTTGTAGAAACCCAAATTAGTAAAATACTTGCAGAACAAAGAATCTTCCATTCTAAGGAAGATCGTTTTGCTTATACATTTATTGTAAATATATGTAATATACATGATATGTACAATATGTGCATGATATACATGACATAAACAAATATATTATAAACATATTTATAAATAACAAACATGTCCTCTTGTTTCTTCTTCTTACTACACTAGGAATAATAAAGGCAATTTAGAGATGAAAAGAACTGTGGAGCTTGGGGATAGAGACAGACCTGTCAAGTTCAGGTCTCCTCCAATGCATTCACTGGCTTGTGAAAGCTATTTGGAATTTACCTCTGAATTTCATCTCCGGCGCAGAGTGTTCAGAAAATAAAAGTGGAGATTATGCAAATCATCTGGCTTTAGGAAAACTAGGGCAACATGCTTTTTCAATCTTTTATGAAGGCTTTCCTAAAATCATCACTAAATGAGAGAGAGAGAGAGAGATCTCCAACAAAGTTAAAAAGTTTTTTAGCCCATACTGAAGCCACTGAATTCTTCTCTAGTTAATCTCTGGGGAGATAAAGTCAGATTCGATGTCTGTGTCTTTTGACGCTAAACGAACCGCATACAAAACCCACGCGGGGTAATCATGCAAATTAGGGGTAATGACTTTAAGGGTGCGGGGCGCTCGGAGCCAGCTTTGCGCGGGGCTGAGAGCAGGGACCCGGCCGCAGCGGGGCGCCGGGGAGGGCAGGGGAGGGGAGGGCGGCGGCGGCGGCGGGGCAGCCAGGACTCGGTCCCCGCGCCGGCGGGCGGCGGGGGCCGGGCGCCGGCGCGTCCCGTGGCCGTGGCCGTTTTAAAGCGCGGCGCGCCGAGCCCCGCGGCTGCGCTTCCCGGGCCGGCGCCGCGGGCCCCCGGGTCCCCGCGTCCCCGCCATGCGCCGGGGCTAGCGCGCCGCAGGCATGCTGCGCCCGCTGCTGCTCGCCGCGCTGTGCCTGGCCGCGCGCGCCTGCCAGCTGCCCTCCGAGTGGCGGCCGCTCAGCGAGGGCTGCCGCGCCGAGCTGGCCGAGACCATCGTGTACGCCAAGGTGCTGGCGCTGCACCCCGAGGCGCCCGGCCTCTACAACCACCTGCCGTGGCAGCCGCACGCCGGCCAGGGCGCGCTCTTCTACGCGGCCGAGGTGGAGATGCTGTGCGACCAGGCGTGGGGCAGCATGCTGGAGGTGCCCGCCGGCTCCAGGCTCAACCTCACCGGCCTGGGCTACTTCTCGTGCCACTCCCACACCGTGGTGCCCGACTACTCCTACTTCTTCTTCCTCAGGTGAGCCCCGCGCCGCCGCCGCCTCCTGGCGCGACCTCCCGGGGTCGCCGTTACCTGGAGCCAGGTGGGAGCCCCCGCGGCCGCGGGAGTGGCCACGTGCCTTAGGCTCCTCCCCTTCCCCCGTCTTGTCCCTCTCCCTGCTCGGCCCCACGACTCTGCAGACACCCTGGCCACCCCGGCCTAGGCTGTTGCAAAGGATGACTCCGGTGCTGCGCGTGCAGAACGGTGTCGCAGGTAAAAAAAAAAAAAAAAGCCCAAAGCGCTTTCCCACAACCCGCTTTAATCATCTTTCTAACAACTCGTTAGGAGCAGTTTGGGACGGTGAGAAAAACCGTCTTGGAAATCGGTCTGTCCTTGGCACTCTGGCTCTGCCCTTCCTAACCGTGATTTTGAGCAAGTTCCTTCTCACCTTTTCTAGAACCTGCGTCAAGTAAGACGTGAGGCTGGTTGAGACTAAAGCGCAGGCGCTCCTGCAGAGCACTGGTGCAGGGTAGTGGCTGGACGACGGTCCCCTGGCTCCTCTTCCCACCCACTGAAATGCAAAGACGCGAAGGGTGTGGAAGGCAGCCCTGCTGTCCTCCTGCCTCGTTGTCCCATGCCAGCTGCCAGGTTATTGCAAACAGCCAAGGTTTGCGGTGAGGGGGCGGTTTCTGCTGGGGGTGAGACCCTGGGTGACAGTGATTTGACGAGTGTAGAAGTGAATCGTGCAGGAAGTCCTCACTCCAGGCCCCTGCAGTCTTGCGAAGTTCCAGGAAAGTTGGCCTGTGGCCAAGATGGAACACATCTGCGTAAGAATTCTGTCAATTCTTATTGACTAGTGAATTCTACTGGAATCTGAAATAGAGAACAGCAGGTAGAGCCCTGAATTCATCAGCTGTCTTCAGTTGAATCAGGGGGTGATACAGGACAACTGAGAAACATCAAAATGGAATCCAACCTGTAGATCAAGATAGTGAATCAATGCAAAGCTGTTGCAATCAGTAATAGTTTCAGTTTTGCCTTTTCATGAAGCCACATGGAGGATATTTGGAATGATCTTCCCTGGGTCTGCAGATCCACTTTTAGCTCACGTAGTTCTGGGAAAGAAAACAGTTAGTTCCACAGAGAGGGTGTTCGTAAGCTCATGGCAACACATGTTTTCCATATTGAAGCCGGAATAGCTAAGTTTGGAATACGCGTCCTGCTTTGTGTTGACTTGAGTGGTTTAGCTAGGCTAAGTTGTTGTTGTTCCTTCTATCTTTCTTTTTTAATTGCCAGGAAAGTATAGTTTCTAAATACAACAGCAAAGACTGAGAGTGCCCTTCTTGATACAGAGAAACTTAAACTCAGATTTTTTTCATGTTTTTATTTGGGAAAAATTCTGTGGACCCAGCTATAAAACTATCCAATGACAAACTTTATTTAAAAAAAAAAAAAAAGACAAAAAAAAACCCCTGAGTACTTGAACAGACATGATTTTTTGAAAAATTTTTATCATGAAATATGATTTTGTCCATTGGCTCTGTAGCGGTCAGCCAACTCTTTCATCTTTTGCTCTAACATTATTTACAGAAAGGGCAGGTTTATAGAGGCACACAGTAGTCTGATGGGTTTCCATTTCATGGGGCTGTCTTGCCCTGAAGTGTGTTAACAACTGCATAGAAATTATCCCTCCTCTGTTACTCTGGGACCACTGAGGCTCCGGTCAATGTCAGGGGATGGGGAGTGGCAGTGGAGACTTCCTGGTGGGCCCCACGTGTCCCCTTTGGACTGGAGTGCAACTCCCATCTCTCCTTTTCCTGCCGACGTGATCAGTCCAACAAGGGATTCACACTGGGCTCTGTAAACACATGCACTAGCACTTATACTGCGTTCAATTTCTGCCAAGGGCTTTACTTACTTACATTTTCTGTTGCAATCCTTATGTTACCACCAAGGAAGTAGGTACTATCATAATCATCTTTTTACAGATCGGAATACCGAGGCTTAGAAGAATTAAGAAATTAGTTTTGTGTCTTATAGAAGATAAGTAGCAGAGGCAGGACTTAAACCCAGGTCATTATAGCTGGCCTTTCACCAGGAAATAAGGAACACTCTGTTTATGAGAAGGAAGGCCACTTGAGGGACTTGGAGTAGACACAAATAGACAAACAGGCATGCACACACACCTTGTGCCTCTACTTTGCTCAAATTCATCTTTCTGAAAACCTTTAGGATAGACTCAAGTAGGGAAAGACAGAGAAACAAATAGTAACTCCTCTAATGACAGCCATGCGAAACATTGCCATGATATTGGCAAGCCCATCTCAGTGGTCTACTGAAGCTGGTACACCCCTGGCTGTCTAGTCTACATCCCTGTTTTTTTGTTTTTTTTTTTTTCCTCTCCCCCATTAGGATGGATGAAAATTATAACCTCTTGCCTCACGGTGTCAATTTCCAAGATGCCATCTTTCCAGACACTCAAGAAAACAGAAGAATGTTTTCCAGCCTCTTCCAGTTTTCAAACTGTTCGCAAGGACAGCAGCTAGTGACTTTCCCCAGTGACTGGGAGATCCAGGAGGACAATCGGGTAAGCATTGGCTGGACCTTGTGCCACAGCAAAACAATAGAATAGCTACATCTTGTAGGAATTTTGTGACCAAAAGAGTCAAGAATCCTCTTCCAAAAGCTCAGACCAAAGAGTATTACCCTCTTTCTCCCTGCTTCCTTCCCAGCTGTTATAAAACACTGCTTGTAAACTTTGGATTCCTGAAGCTTTACTCTTTGATAAGAGGTTGGTTCTTCATAAAGTGTGGGAATAAGATGGGATAAAGCTTGGCCCGCTATGCCTCAGTTTCCCCTTTGGGAAAATGCCAACGTCTATATCACAGGGCTGGTGCAATATGATTTCAATATGTAAATCCTTTAGCATAGTGCTTGGAGGAGTAGTAAGCGTGCAATACCTGCGGGCCACTGAGACTGTTCTGATGACTGTCGCTGACAGTGTAGAGTTCTGAGGAAGGGTCTTCGAGGAAAGAAAAAGTCCCCAAGGAAATGAAATAAAATAAACATCATAGCGAACACTTCTGCGCTTCCTAACTATGGTTGTTAAGATGTGGGGGTGCAGGGTGGCGAAGGTGGTGATGGGATGTAGGGGTCAGGATCATTTGGGATATGAAGGTATAAAAGGATCTGCCAGTCTGGGCCAAATGGCAGAGTTTGGGGAAAATTTTCCACAGCCTGTGAGTGGGATCGTGGTCCCTCTTTCCAAGTCCCCCATCAGGGACATTTTTAGGGCTATGTGACAGACTGCTGGAGCGAGCTCTGATGCCAGTAACATGTGAAGGACTTTCAATGAGTGTGTATGTTAATGAGCCAATTTGCATATATTAGGGGGCTCCCTTTTTCCACCCATGCACAAAGGACTTGAGGGAAGTGTCTTTCTCTTGTCTGGTGGGTTGGCCCAGCCTGTTCTGCCAAATGTCCTCATCTTCTGCCCAGGGCTCCCTGGCCCCTGGAGCCCTCGTGCATGCTCAAGTGCTCGTTAGAAGTTCCTTCCTTAGCTCTTCCCTACTGACAGCAATCTAGACTTTTCTAACCCCTCCCCCATGGTTTGCCAGAATTTTCTGAACACCTGTTCTACATTTTGCTCCCAACATGGTTCGTCCCCACCCCCTACTTCTTAATCTTTGCTTGTTGCCTACAGGAATATGCAGAAATGGAGCCACCAAGTCTTAGCTTGAGTATCTCAAGCCTGAGTCACGCCTAGTATATTCCAAATGCAACCTTTTTAGCCTTGGCCCTTTGGCTGTCCATACTGAGACAGCTTTGTCTGTATAACTAGACCCTTGATAAGAGCAGATTTATGTCAAGAGTAGATATTATTCCAAAAATACTTGAGTAGCGTAGCCCCCAAATCTTAAGTTATGTAACTTGTTAGCCCTCTGGTCACATAATCAAGCTATTAACATTTTTCTGGAATTAGATTTTTCCATCCTTTGAAAAAAAAAAAAGAACAATAGGACCGTGGAGAATTATTCTAGCGTGAATGCAGATCTATTTCTGTTGGTCAGATGTTGATCTTGGGGAGAAATCCTTTTCCCTCTCCCTTTACTCACCCTGATGTCTTAGATAACAAAGTGTGGGAGTGCTCCGTGCTCCAAGGAAGAGTCAAAACTCGAGGGTAGGAAAATAATTGTTCCAGATTGTTGAGCTGCCATGTAGCCAAATATAGAAGTTCCATCTGAGGTACCCCGCAGTTTTCCAGACCTTTGCTCGTTCCATTTTTATTCCATGCTCGGAAAGGGACCACATCAGAGCTAAATCAAATGAGCTCATTAGTTTAAAACTGAATTTGAAACCAAAATGAAATTTACTTTTAAGAATTTTGTGACATTCCCTGAGTTATTTTTTTAATATTCTCTGGAGTGATTAAAACAGTTGTGAATTGATGATCTCAGAGTTAGGTGAATTATTAACAGTCACTTGCTTTCTTCTTTTAAGAAAAACTAAAACATCTCTTTTTCTGTGGGAAGGTAAGCATCAAATTATGTATCCTACCCAGGACAAATATATCATGTTATGTCAGAAGCAGTCAACATTTTCCCCTTGACCTTACGAGGGATCAGAATTGCTGGTCAGGTTACCTTTAAAAAATTCCAGTAGCAATAGGTGTTAGATTTTTGTGACTCCTTCGAATGTTCTGAGAGCAAATCTGAACAGCCCCAGACTTTTTCCAAAAGCCTTTCTTGTGTTACGTGCTGTGTCTTAGATTACAAATCGTGCAGGCATGTTAGCAAGCTCCTGTGTTTTCTATTGTTGATGCTATGGCTGTCTGAGCTTGCATTGAGCATGCACAGTGGACTCAGACTAGTTATGAAGGGTACGTTTCATTCTCGTGGCTGATAATTCTCAACCTTATGTATCTTGGAGGATCAGGTGAACCTGGGACTCTGGAATCGCTTCGGAGGTGAAGAGATGGAACAGGAGGGAAAATCTCATGTAGGGAAACTTTTTGCGATACACACCCGGGGGCGACGCTCAACTCAGTCCTCGGGAGGAAAGTCCTCCCACACTTTGGTTCCTTTCTGGGGTATCTCGGTCTTCAAACGTCCCACCCACACGTCAGTAAATAGCAACACGATCTTGCTTTTCAAAAGTCGCCAAGAAATCAGTAGTGTTACTAAGTGTTCAGTGTCTCTCTGGTTCTGTGTCACGGTGTTAATAGGACTTGGGGGGATATCTTTGGCTCGTTGGAGCACCCACCAGATTTACTGGCAAGATTCTCCCCACGCCAGCCAAAGACATTTTTCCTTCCTCATTTATCTCCTACTGGGCAAGTGGAACAGTCAAAACAGAAGCTGGATATTTTTCCCTCTCTGCCAGGACTGTCCCGTAGGACCAAGCCCCGGACTGACCCATGGTGACATCAGGCTGTCATAAAAATGTCATGGGACTGGGAAAAAAGAAATCTGTGAAGGTCTTGCAATGGTTCTCTTCTTTCCTCTTTTGGAGTTGGGAAGAATGACGGTGGGGGAGTTGTCCTCTCAGCTGCCTTAGAAGGAATGTAAACCATTGGAAGATGTCAACTGGCTCTGCCATTTCTGGAGGAATGACCTTGGGCAGGTCCCTTAATCTCTCAGAACTTAAGTTCTCTCATTTATAAAATGCGGCTTAGATCAACTGTCCGGGGGTTGTTATAAGGACCTAATTAGAGCACACGTTTGAGCACTTTGTAAAGAGTGATGGAAGGGTTTATCACTGTCAGTTGAGCATTTGAAAGTATTAGAAACTACATATTCTGAAAATGTAAATAAGCTTCCTGCTGCCTCCTAGAGGGAGTCCCGAAACATCTTGTGGCAGAGTGGTGGCATAATGACAGTGCAGGGCGTGTTGGAGATGGGAACGGTGGAGGAGGAAGCCACCATGCACACTTTCATTCGACAGAATTGACTGGGTTTTTTGCAGGGAGCGCTTTTTTTTTTTTTTAAAGAAATAGTTTACTGAATAATAAACAATGCAACATTTGTGGGTTCCCAAATCTGACAATATATAGTGGCAGCCAGCAGTCTCTCTCCCACCTCTGACACCCAGCTATCTGGTTCCTGCCCACCCTCCAAACAAGTAGTTGCTGTTACTGTTTCTTGTGTGAACATTCAGTGAGTGTTTTTATTCAACAATAATCCAAGCATGTGTTACTACCCTCCTCTTTGACACAAATGGCAACACACGGTGCACACTTTGCTACACTTTCCTTTATGCAAAAGAAGATCTTTCCGTATCATTTCCATATATATAGCCTGAGGGCTAGACTGGGTGGGGAAAAAAAAGATGAAAACCAAGAGTTTCCTCCCTACGCTGGAGCCCTCAGTCTTCTGGGTAGAAACACAGGATTTCTCCTGCGGTTTCTGCTGCGTGGCTCCGTGACTCGGCCCCCTTGAGTTAGGTTCCCTGTTGCCTCTAATTGTTCACTTTGCAGAGTTCAGATAGTTACTTTTGTGTAATGTGCAGAGATTTTTTTAGTTATAATCAGTAGGAGTGGCCGGGCGCAGTGGCTCACGCCTGTAATCCTAGCACTCTGGGAGGCCGAGGTGGGAGGATTGCTCGAGGTCAGGAGTTGGAAACCAGCCTGAGCAAGAGCGAGACCCCGTCTCTACTATAAATAGAAAGAAATTAATTGGCCAACTAATATATAGAGAAAAAATTAGCTGGGCATGGTGGCGCATGCCTGTAGTCCCAGCTACTCGGGAGGCCTGAGGCAGGAGGATTGCTTGAACCCAGGAGTTTGAGGTTGCTGTGAGCTAGGCTGACACCACGACACTCACTCTAGCCAAGCTTGGGTAGAACATACAGGAAAGATGAATATAAATGAACTGTATTTATTTTCTGATGACCAAGAGCAATGAGGAATGGGAGAGAGCATCTGTAGTCTCAAGAGTGAGATTTGAACCCCAAATAGATCAAGAAAATCAGAACTCGGTTCATCCAGATCTTCCATTGAGAGCCCCGGAACAATTTGATTTAAAAGTGTCCGTGTGAGTGTGCTGGGACAGGTGGGTTTCACAGACCACTGGGACAAGAACAAAGATATTTACTCTGTAGGGAAGGAGGGTTATAGCTTTTGTTCAGCAAGTGTTTGAGCACCTGTTAAGTGCCACCTCCTCTATATTCATTCTTCGTTGATACTGTCCCCAAACTCAAACATGTTAGTTTCTTAAAAGTTGCAATGTGGAATCTGAAACCTTTCTCAATGAACTTTTTGTGTTCTTACATGAAAGTCTATCGGTCTATCTTGTACTTTGAATGGCTTCTTTTTTTCCCCCCCATATTGGTTTTATAACATGATGCATCCACCATTTGGAAAATACTAGTTTACGTAGTTACACACATCTTCCAAATGTGGTGAGATTTTATTATATACAAAATCCTCGTCGTTAATATCACCATTGATCCCACGAGGAAAGCATTGGGAAGCTGTCAAACTCACAGTGGCAACTTTCCTAAAATTCTAATTTTTGCTTGAGAGTTCAAATTCCATCACTGGCAACAAATATTGTCGTCTTTGAAGTGACAGGCTGGCTTTTTTCATTT